TTCTCTAAGATCCACACGCTTAATTACTCTTTATGGGCATGAAAAGATTAAAAATGTAAGTTCAGTACTTGCTGCATGGAAATTTAAATATTTCAATGACTGGATGGATGGTCGAGGGAGGAGTGCACTTCCTATCGGGGTTCTGATAGCGTACTTTTTTACGGAAGTGCCCCTACACTTCTGTAAATAAGCATACTTTTTAGTTTAGTTTTAGAATATTTCAATCTAAGTTAATCTAATTATTTAGTTTTCTCATATCTGTTTCTGTTTTAAAATTATTTTTCTATTGATTAATTTTAGAATAGGTTCAATCTAAGCCTATAGAATTCACTGGTTTTAGGTCGTATAGTCCACATTCTTTCATTTTTTTTCCGATCCATAGAATTTCTTCTCTTTCTTTTGTAAGTAGTAAAGATTAAAATTGTCAGTTGATTAGCTTGGACAATTTTGAAACTCAACTATGGAATGAACAGGGGAATGAGGTAAGAGGAGGGCATTTTTTTTATTCATCTTTAAATTATTTCAACCTCTGCGGACCGACCAGTCGACTGATCTTTTAGAAAATTAGATATTGGACAAGATTAGGTAAGTAGTAAACGATTAGTTCGTTAAAAGAGCAAATTATAAAGAGGTTTGATTGATATTGGACAAGATTTAAAGCCGGACAAACCAAGTTTTGCTCATCCCTGGTTATGGCAATTGAAGTATGCACTATGAAAAGAAAACTTGACTTAGGGGTTATATATCTCATAAAATCAGACCTACCTTTGATGTGACTTAGCAAGACATAATAACAACAACAATAATAATAATATATCCACGAGGAATTCAGCTAAGAAAACAAAACAAATAAAATAAAATAAATATCTTGTAGGTTGTGGTTGAATTATATATTACTTTAAATTGGGTCCCAAAAAAATTGGATGTTGGTTTTGCTCAGCATTATTCGTAGCTCATGCTCTTTGCCGCTATCAATTAAACGTATGGTTTTCTTCTTTTGATAAATCGCTACGAAATTTGCCGAGATGTACTTGTGCAAATTTTACCCAAAAAAAAGAAAAAAAATATTATCCAAAAAAATGTAAAAGGAGGTAAAGTGACATAAGAAAGGGACCGTTAATAATAGCTCACAGATCATTTTATAATTTTCCAGTTTTCTTTAACAAAGATTAAAGCCTTCTCTCTCTCTCTAGATCAAGAGGGCCGAAGCGCGGGCTACAGAAAGTCTAGCCGATTTAGTAACTAATATCAGTATGAGGAAATCTAGAGTTGTCACGCCCCGCTTCCCAAAATACCCGGGAATCGGAACGTGAACAAGCCCACGACGTATTAGATTGAGAAGAAATATACACTATTATTTTTTTCTCTTTTCTTTTCTTCACAATCCAATACGCTAAGCGTCTAAAAATAAATACAATACAAAGGCACAGGTCCCCGATCACAATAGCAAGAATATAAGGACAACCCAGAATAAGAAATAGACATATCATCAACAGTAAATCATCCCAAACATGAAAATATGGGTCCAACGTACCCTTATACAAAATAAACAAATGAATACTGAAGAGATACAAAATACATCGTTCAAGCAGGAAT